GAGAGTGAATGAATAGTGGCATTGTAAAGCGCTTTGGGTGCCTTGAAAAGCGCTATATAAATCCAATCCATTATTAGATTCCGTTACGTTACTCAATGAGAGTAACGTATTCTGAATACTTTGGATTACTTAATATATTATCATGCTTTATACAACTACATGAATGTACTATTGCTGTGTGATTTGTTGCTATTACTGAAGGTAATAGCAACAAATATAAAACAGGTCCACGGCTCCGAACCGTAGTAAAGGGACCTCTGGCGGGTTCCGTGTCGGGCTCGTAGCCAAAAACTAGCTTTACTTTGTTGTCTGGGTCAACTTTGCTAGCGAGAGACAGAGAGAGGCATTGAAAGGCTGCTTCAACGGAGCTTATTGTTTCAGAGGAAAACACGAACACAGTGTACAGTCGAGTCTTAATAGCTTACTTACAACTGGGCTACACTGCCCATTAGGCTACATTCTTTAGGGCTATGCCTGTAATACTCTGCCTATTGCCTTCATATTTAAAAAAAAATTTGAATAATTTTAAAAAATATTTCTTCACGTCGTTTTGCGGGCTGCAAGTAGAGGTGACATGGGCCGCGATATTGAGACCCAGACATTAGAGCCTCTTATTGCGTGTTTTGTTTGGGTTTCCACCAGCGTGGATTTACCAAAAATAGAGAGGGGACAGCCTAACATATGAAACAGGAAAAGACCGCCGTGTAATCCCTTTATTTCAACAAAGTAACTGTATTCTGAATACCACCTTTTTAAATGGTAACTGTAACGCAATACAGTTACTCATATTTTGTATTTTAAATACGTAACACCGGTACATGTATTCTGTTACTCCCCAACACTGGTGACACAGTTATTTAGTTATTAACACTGCTGCCACTTAAAAAGAAGGTTCTGGGCTTGCTTCTACTGGGGCTTTCTGCTAGTTCCAGGTACTCAAACTTTCTCCTGCAGTCCAGTGACGTCTGTGAGTTCTACACTTCAGCCAGTCACTGACTATAAATGATTTTTTTTATGTTAGTTCTTCTAAATTACTTTTGAGTGTCTGAAAATAGGGAGTATGTATGAAAATGCAATATTGTTCTTAAACCCTCTGAAATAAAAGAAAAGTCAGATGTTTGATTTAAACAACTGGAGGTGTACAAAGGCAAATTGAAAAGAAAAATGCTGTAAATATCTGTTTATAATTTGCTGTACATATGTTTAAACATGCAACTGATATTTTCTTTTAATTTCCAAAGTAGCCTAAATAGATCATTCAAATATGTTACGTTAATCAGTATTTTATACTCAATTGTAGGCAAGGATGCAAACAGATAAAGAACAGCCAGTAGGAGTCAAAAAGTTCCATTCTGTTAAATAAGATACCCTGTAAATAAAATTTTGTTCACTGTCTTTCAGGCTCCTGATCAAGAATGGCAACAGCATAAATGCAGCCGTACTGTATGATTCCTATGAGGTGGAGTATTTGCCTAATGAAGGGCTCCTTAGCACATCTAGGCAGCTCTTCATTGAGCTTACTACAGATGCCACAGGAACATCGACTGGCATAGCCATTAGGTATCAAGGTAAGAATTATGCATGATGAGTTGGATAGCACTTTCTATTACAGCCTGATAATAAAGTGGTAATAGTAGGGTAACAATGAAGAAACAAGAATGTACTAATGTGGTAATTTCTTATAATTATTATTTATAATTACTGTTTCCATTTACGGTGACCAGTGGTTAGCACTGTTGCCGCACAGCAAGAATGTCGTGAGTTCAATTCCACCATCAGGCCGGGGTCTTTTTGTGTAGAGTTTTCATGTTCTCCCCAGGTATTCCGGCTTCCTCCCACCGTCCAAAGACATGCAGTTAGCGGGGATAGGTTAATTGATCAATCCAAATTGCCCATATGTGTGAATGCGTGAGTGAATGTGAGTGCAAATGGTTGTCTGTCCCTGTGTGTTAGCCCGGCGACAGACTGGCGACCTATCCAGGGTGTACCCCGCCTCTCGCCCTATGACAGCTGGGATAGGCTCCAGCGCTTCCCGCGACCCTGAAAAGCGAACGGAGGGATGTTTCCATTTAATATCATATTAATAACATTAAATTAAACTAAAAAAAGGTTGTGATTAAAATCTGGAAACACAACAAAGTGGCAATTTAAAGAAATCCACACTCACTATTGCCCTAATTAACTTAATTTAATCTAAACCCACAATAAACCAAAATATCAGTCCACTTTTTTTGTTTTTATTTTGGCCGCCATGGAATCTGAGTGAATGGGGACTTTCAGTCCAGCTTTGTCCAGCCATCAGTAGGATTTTTGGATGTCAGTCACTTCCTCTATTTGCCGGTGGTACATACCATGCAGGGGCCTGTCCTATGATGGCTTCTCCTCTTCATTTTTGGGTTTCTGCTGGCTGAGTTATTCACTGAGCATGCAATATTAAAACCAATCTTTTAATGGCTAAGGAAGCCCAAAAAGATTTAACAAACAAATTGGTTGACAAACAATTGGTTGTTTTTTTTGTTTGGTTGTTTGTTTGGTTTGATTTAAGACACGGGTCAAAACCTACAAGTTACCACAGAATACATAGATGAAGGTAAAATTTAAAATATGGTTCATAGCTTTACTGAACTAAATATAATATTTTTCACTATTTTGCATCAGTCTTTAAACATTTTTTGTTATGAAGCTTGACTATCTGTTAACTAATGTTTTCTTTTCTGTGTTTCACTTGAAAAAAGAGACCTTGAAATAAATCTAGTGAAAGATGCAATATGATTTTAACAAAATCACATATTTAAGAAAATATAAACAAAATACATTTGATCTCAGAATCAGAATATTTTAATAATCCCTAGGAAAATGGTGTAGAAAAGAAAGCTATTAATACAGATGAACACTCATCTGAGTGAAGAGTAAAGGACAAACAAATTAGTAAGAAAAAAGTAAGAAAATTAGTAAGAAAAAAGTTAAACTAAAGAGAAAAAGCAGCAACTGAAACAGGCTGCGTGCTGGTTGACACATGCACACTCTAAAAGATGGATTTTGAACATATATATATAAGGGCAAATATAAACAATTGTTTATTATTTATTAATGGAGCTTCTAACTCCAGCACGGTGGAACAGTGGTTAGCACTGTTGCCGCACAGCAAGAAGGTCCTGAGTTCAATTCCACCATCAGGACGGGGTCTTTCTGTGTGGAGTTTTCATCTTCTCCCCGTGTTTGCGTGGGTTCCCTCCGGGTACTGCAGCTTCCTCCCACAGTCCAAAGACATGCAGCTTGTGGGGATAGGTTAATTGATTAATCCAAATTGCCCATAGGTGTGAATGTGAGCGTGAATGGTTGTCTGTCTCTGTGTGTTAGCCCTGTGACAGACTGGCGACCTGTCAAGGGTGTACCCCTCCTCTCGCCCTATGACTGCTGGGATAGGCTCCAGCATCCCCTGCGACCCTGAAAAGGATAAGCGGAAGCAAATAGATGGATGGATTCTAACTCCTTCCTACAACTATTTTTGTAACATAACTTCCATCTCTCTAGCTTTTGCAGCGGGTCACTGCTATGAACCCTTTGTGAAGTACGGTAACATGACCAGCACTGACAACACCTGGTCAGTAGGAGCTGTGGTGGAGTTTGCCTGTGACCCGGGGTATACTCTGGAACAGGGATCTGTCACCATTGAGTGCATGGATCCTAACAATCCACAGTGGAATGAGACTGAGCCTGCTTGCAGAGGTTTGTATGCCTGATTCATTGACATGCATCTTTGGATTACTTGTGCTTCTTTCTTGTCATCTTCTACATTTTTGCAACAATTTTGTCCATTTTGAGTCACTTTCCCCTTGATACACCCATCTTAACACTTAGGATTGAACTCAGAGGTAGAGCAGATCATCTACTGATTGGAAGGTTGGTGGTTTGATCCCTGGCTCCCCCAGTCTGCGTGCCAAATATCCCTGGGCAAGATATGAATGTGTCTGAATGTTAGCTAGTAAGCACTTAAAACATAGTGAATGTGGCATGTTGTAAAAAGCACTATATAAGAATGAGTCTCGGGGGGCTCACTGACTTCTTTGGCCCCAGGATGACAGATAATTAAACACTGACTCTCAGCAATACAAAACTGACAGCAGACTTCATTTCTTTAATTGTTTGTATTACAAAATTCTTTGTTCTGTTTCTATATTTAGTGAGATCACGCATCCAATTTGCTTGTTACACACCCCAAAACAAAGGGACAGAGTGATCTCTGATGATGACTTAGAGATTTAAACTGTAAACATGTTTTTTTTTTGTGTGTTTGTGTTCCAGCTGTGTGCAGTGGTGAGATCACAGACTCAGCTGGTGTGGTGCTCTCTCCCAACTGGCCTGAATCCTATGATAAAGGCCAAGACTGTATCTGGGGAATCCACGTTGAGGAGGACAAGAGGATCATGCTAGATATTCAAGTGTACGTATCCATCTTCCACATGTTCAATCTATTTCACTCCGTTGGCCTTTGATGAGCATAAAACCACATTACTAAAGCAGCATCTAATCATCACAAAACTTGCTTTATCTCCTTTGCTGATACATACAGCAGTCCCAGGCTTCAAACACATCCACAGAAACAGTATGACACTAACAAAGCGCTACCTCACCATGACTAGTAAAACACATTAAAAACACAACAGGCAGCTAATGAACGAATGCTCAGCTTGTGAATGAGATGTGTAAATGGCACACAGACAAAGGTTAATTAGGTGCAGTGGAGAAAACTAATTATATCAGGGATTTGTTTAGGAGCCCTCCCCCAATCCCCAACCCTGCACTCTTGTAATGGCTGCTGTGTGGAGTACAGGGTGCAAGTGTACAGCATGAGAGTGTTTGTTTCCTGAGATTGTGGTGCCAAGGTGAAGACACAGAACAGCACACCCTGCTTTGTCAGGGCCTGATAAGTCAGTCAGCCATAGAAAATCATTTGCCATTTGCAAGCAAATTAAAGGGGGCTCATTTGCATCGGATGCATCTTAAGCTCCGCTTTTCTCTCTCTCTCTGAGCACCACCTGTGTTGTACTTTGAGAAATACTGATTAATGGCTTCTTCTGGATTTTGAGAGGGAGTTTGCAAACATCAGTAAATATTGCTGCTGAGCAGGTGATGTAAAAGTCAAACTTCCCTGGCAGCCAAATCTGTGTTTTAAGAATAAAGTTACTATAAAGCATGGACCTGAAACACGTGTTCTCCATAATATGACACGGGCTTCTTCCGTTCCCCTAACCCTAACCCTTGGTTTAGCTGTCTGGCATATTACAATCTGGTCTAAAGTCTGGACATAGTATAAAGTCAGAAAGGCACCGAATGACCCAATGTAGTTACTCACTTCTGCTATTTTAGCTACATGTGAGATTATCATTCTGATGATTCTGATTTGATTTATTACTGCTGTTGAAATTAAAAGCTTGATTCTTCACTGATCTGGTTCTCTAATTCATAATCCAATACCAGTTTAAAGCTTTCTCCTAATTGATAAAAATCATTGTTTTAACACTGTTAATGGTCAACAACTCCACATGATCCTTTAATATTCTCTCAGGAAAGGTGGCAGGATTAAAACATATGACATTAAATGCAACATCAGCTATTTTAAATTTACTTTGTTCAATTGTTGGATGCTACAATAAGAAATATCATCACAACAGATTGAATGTTACTAGAATGAAGTAAATGTCATAAGCAGATAGCTGTCAAAACCCCTGTTGCTCCCCCGCTTTCCTGAAGAATCATCACTGTGGTTTCTACTAGAGATGGCACGATACCACTTTTTTATGTCAGATACCGATATCATAAATTTGGATATCTGCCGATACCGATATGAATCCGATATAGTGTTTTTTAATCAACAAAACTGTTTTTTTAAATATCTTGCTGCATTTTGTATAAGTTCATACTCAAGTTTAAAACAACAACTACACTAAAGCTATTCTGTTATACCTGTATGCAAAAAAAAATATTTCATAGTTCAGCAATACTGATCAATTAAACCTACACCATCCTCCCTATTCTGGTATTTTAAAGAGTACTTAGCGTAAATATTAAGCAACCTAACTAATAGGGTTCCAACTCCCAGCAACAACAAAAATAAAAAAATAAAAAATAGGGAACCACCCCTCACGCTCCACCTCATGATGCTTAATCAACGTAAAAAATGCACAGAAATCAATTATTTTTCAAGAAATATTAAATAGATTCAACATCTTTCTTCAACAGAATTGCAGACTGCACAGATGGTACCTTCCCAAAGGAAAAAGTACTATAGCTTACTAGGGTATATTAGACTTAACAGTTACTATATACAGTAATGGACTTCTATACATTTTACATCAGATTAAAACTTTGGGTGTAAGATTCGGATAATTATTTATTAAAAGCTAGACATTTTAAATGAGAATAAGAAAGAAAAGTATGTCTTTGTGCCCCCTTTTCCCTGTTCATGCCCTATCGGCCCCCCTGGCTAAACTTTGCTAGATCCGCCCCTGCACAGTTACCAGCCGTCAGCTACGTAGAAAAAGATCCTGGTGTAGAAAGTAATATTAAATAAATTCTAACAACAGCTTATCAAGCTTAAACGTGCTGCTGTTGTTCAGCCGCTGGTTTCCTCTTTCTGGTGCAAAGTGGGCCAAAAACAAACAAGAGAGACGGACTCGCGACAGAAAAGCCGATCAGCTGATCATTAAGCAGTTTCATGATTGAAGTAGCAGCAAGGAGAGGCAGTCGCTTGTTAAGCTTAACGCAGGAATGCTTTACAAACATTCAGAGATGGACTTACACACTTGCTTTACTTCTCTCGGGGATAACTTTGTCGGAGATGAAATGCCGGGTTGCTAGCGAAGCTCCAAATGCTATCCAGACCACCGACAGGTCCCGCATGCCACAGCGCTCTATCACGTGATGCATACTGCTCCGACGTGCTAACGTTCTGAGGTGAGTTACGGCGTGTTGCAAGTTTTGTGAGGTGCTTTCGTGATATTTAATGGATCGGATTACATTTTTTATTTTTCTCCGATATCCGATCCAGTAATTTAGGTCAGTATCGGACCGATACTGATACGTAATATCGGATCGGTCCATCTCTAGTTTCTACTGTATGTTGTCACTTTTAGGATGATAATTAGGCATTTAGACTTTCTCAGGCACATTGTTACATGTGTCAGTGTCAGTGAACGGGAATAATCTGTGAAAAATCTGTAGCTCAAGCTAAAGGTGTCAGCACATACTGTGGTCCAGATTTCCAGAGAATGGCCATGGGATTTAACCAAATCCATGGAACTAACATCTAATCTAGCACAACCCCCCCCCCCCCCATCTGAACGCATGCCAGCAGGTGCCTGAGCATTTATATCAGGTTTATCAATAGCAGTTGTTCTCCCTAAGCTTATCTCTGGTGTACAGAGATAAATGAGGCCTTTAACATGGTCCCTGGGTATTGGTTCCTCACATTGCGCACCTGTGCATATGTGTACATATACATATCACCAGCTCCATCTTTCTGATGGAGGGGGAGATATTATCAATAAATGAGTTTCATGGATGGCTTTCAAATGAAAGAGGAGGAAGTACAAGTGTCATTAAAGAGAACTGAAGGAAGTAAAATGAATAATAACACACAGACTCTTGTCCTCTCTTTCTGTAGGGGAACTTAAAACTGTTGTAACTTTATCTCATCAGTGTTTGATGCCGAGTGAGGACTTATCTTTATATGATTATCAGCCTGTGTTTGATAATGATGTCCTACATTAAAGCTTCTTGTACAATTAGGCGTGATTCAAACTATTCCACACTATAAGGTTGTCTCCTTGTCCATCCTTGCTCCCAGTTGTCCACTAGTCCAGTACTCTACAGTGTCAAAGAGCAACACTTCAATTAGAATTTAATTTAGCAGCAGGGAGGCACCTGTGTGTGTGTGTGTGTGTGTGTGTGTGTGTGTGTGTGTGTGTGTGTGTACTCTTCCCACCAATACAATCAATGTGTTGGTTTGGAGAAAAAAAACTTGAACCAGGGGATGTTACAGCAGAACTGTATTAAACAGTTTGACTTGAGGGGACAAATTCAAAATGACTACCATGTGAATGAGCACACATGGTTGCAAGCACACGCTTGTAACCAAATGTGACACCACGGAGTCTTCTATTCAAGACAGCTTTGTGATATCTGTGTCATAGCCAGAGACCGTACGGTTACATTGTAACCTTGGTTCTGTGAGTGAGGCACTATCTCTCCACCCCGTACAAATGGAATATGTAACGGAGTGGAGAGAAGGTCTCGATATGATAGAGAATCAGCTCTCATCAACAGTAATGATCCTTGATATGTTGGGTCAGTCTGACTCTCTGTAAGAATTTTAGTTCACTTTTATTTAAGGCAAATATTGCACTGAGCTGACAAAATGCAGGAAAAGGCAAAAATCCTCACTTTTCACACAGACAGACACGTTTCGTATGCACGGGACGAGGGCAGAGATCCCAGGAGGAGCCTGCCCCTGTAAGGTGTAGTGTGGTTAACTCATATACGTGCACACCATACACACACACACACACACACAAAGAGCCAAGGTAGAGAGCAAGAGATTAAAAAAATGGCAGGAGGGCATTGGAGGACTGGAATACCATTACATTTTTTCTAACCACTCTACAGACTCTAAATCAAACATCCGTAACTAGCAAACATTAGTTTTCACTTAAAATACTGGCTGGTTGGATACAAAGTTGCTAAAAATAATTTCAAACCACTGTTCTCTGCAGCTTTTACTTATCTGTTTGTATACACATGGATAAGACACAAGCTATGAGAATAAAATATTTTTAAAAGAATGGCTTTAGTTTAATAACAGAAAATTACACTTCTGTCTTTCTTCATAATTTCAAAGTGTTCTCCAAAGTGAGAGTCTTTAGGGTATAGTCACCCTGTGCAATTTATACTGTTCAATGCATTAGACCCCAAAGATCAGTTCATTTGCTAGTGTTAGTGTTACCGTGTTAGTGTTGGCTAGAGACTCATTCAACTGATCTACTGAAAAAGTGGGGCTGAAAACAGCTCAGTTGTATTGGAGCACAATGCACATGTAGAATGGCCACTAGCTACACCCAAGAACAAAGCTGGAGCACTTCTTGAGTGACAGCTCCCCCAATCGTCACCCAGTTAAGAGAGCACCGGGCCCAGTTCATTGGAGCCACTGGTGTGCTAATAAAAGATATTGTATACAGTCTCTGATGAAAGATCTTAATAATATTATTGTTTACAACATGATACTATGAAAAAAAGAGGCTTCATCAGAAATACAGAAGGACAGCTGGGTGTAGAATAGAATAGGATATCTTTTCTTGTTTTTACATGTGACTTTTAATGAAATGTGTTGTCTCTCTTGAATGAACGAAAGCTGCATTGCAGATGTGCTTAATAATTTTTTTTAAT